CAGGTGACTGCTGGAGTCCCCGCAGCAGCACTGGACTGCCCACATCCAAAGCTTCTTTTACGGGACGGAGAGATGCGTGCCCATCTGGTTTAAGCAACTGTTTGGGGGAGTTTCTCTCACTTGCAACTGAACCTAAACCTAACGGATGGTTTCCTCTGATCCAATAAGCTGTGACCAGAGAGGCAGGGCATGGGGGATACTGCTCCCCGAGAGTGAGCCCCTGATCTGAGCAGATTTCCCAAGAAAATGGGTTTGGGCACGGCGGGCAAACCATTTGGAGTGTTTGCAACACTGGCTGAGGTCCATTGCCAGACCACTCGGGTCTGTAAGGCAGGGAAATACTAGGATACATACAAAATTTGAGGGTAGACTGCTATCCTAGAACTTACATCAGGGTAAAAATTGTAATTCAAGGCTCTGAGTGGTGGCATCATGGGTACCGTGGCTACAGGCCAGGTGGGCAGGTGCCCTGAGCAGATGGAGTCAATTGTTCTGCTAATAATTGAAGAAAGTTGGTTAGATTCTTTCAGAGATCTGGTTAACTCATTCCCTTTGGCTACTTAGGGCAGTAATTTATAGGCAGCAAAGTCACTTAGGATAATAAAGCCCCCGGGCCGGGTAGCAAACTGCTGAGATTCTTCAAGAAGAAAGGGACCACTTAAACATCTCAATCGGCTTTTCCGGAGTGAATGATCCCCAGAGGAAACAGGTTTCAAATGTGTCTCCATCATTCACATTCTCAAGAAGAAAGATGAGAGGAACCAAGAAAAATTACTGAGAGTGCTACATTCATTTCAAAATCTGACAAGTTCGGAGAGTCCTGGCACAGGTTTTTCCCCTACAGAACTGCAACTCTCAGAGGAGATCCCACCGTTATTTTCTTCCCTTTCTCTAAAAGCTCTTAGTGGATTGAGAAAAATTGGTTCAAATATCAATTGGCTTGAACGCATCTTTTCAATAAAAAGAAGAATATATGTCATTTTTGAAAATAGCCTTTCTTCTATACAACGGTGTCCTACTGGGCTGTGGTCTTTCTGCTTAGCTTCTTCCTGAGTGAATATAAGCCTAAAAGTATGAACATAACCTCTGCCTTCTGAAGAAGCCCCCAGCTGGCAAGGCCCTTTCCCTCCAAGCTGCCGTGTCCCTCTGGGTCAGAGGCACAGCGGGCCTGAGCTCAGCCACAAATGTCAGATGCCTGAAAGCAGAGATTTTAAGAAGGAAATTGGTTGTTCTCCGTGTTCAGAAAAACATTTTAAAAGGTCTGTAATAGAAAACGGAGCGAGGAGGGGTGGGGTGGGGAGGGAGTGCTCCATTCTCTGGCCTTGGCACAGATCACCAAAGAGGACAACAACCGACAGAAACAGGAAATCTTTGTGGAAATGAAGACCCTCAAAATGAGAAAAACAATGACGACTTATCCAGAGTTTGCTAGAGCCAGGGAGTCGGCCACAATGACTCCAAGACAGGGAGAAGAGTGGGGCAGCTGTAGAAGTAGGGAAAAAAAAAACAAAAAATAGACTAGGCTTTAGGTATGCCCTAAGTGGAGCCTGTGAGTGAGCTAAGTAGAAGGGAGGCATCCAGGTGATTGGTTAGGGGGGTGCGTACGTGCCGTCTCTCGTTGGTCCTAAGTTGAAAATGGGCCCAAAATTAGGGAAGCTGTCAGCTATCAACCAAGTCCTGGCCATTTGGGACCAATTGCTTCAGAAATGATTGGTTAGGGACGCCGGGGTGGCTCAGCAGTTATGCTCCTCCCTTCGGCCCAGGGCGTGATCCTGGATTCCCGGGGTGGAGTCCCACCTGGGGCTCCCTGCTTGGAGGCTGCTGCTCTCTGAGCCTGTGTGTCTGCCTGTGTGTGTGTGTGTGTGTGTGTGTGTGTGTGTGTCATGAATAAATAAATAAAATCTTAAAAAAAAAAAAAGAAATGATTGGTCAGCTTTCTGGATTGTTACTAGAGACGGCCATCTGGCTTCCTGCGAGTCCGACCCATAGCAGGCAGGCTCCCTGGGCTGGTTATTGTGGATAAGGGAGTTGGTTTCCTGAGCCCGCTGCCACAGGTTGGGGGTCAGAGTTCTATTTTTATATATAGCCTGGCCATCACCCATGTGTATATTCAGTGTCTCATCTTTCAGACAAAGGCAGCTGACTCTGGGCAGCTGACCTGCAGCCAGCAAGGTTATTCCCAGCATTTCTAGGGAGCCACTCTGGGAGGTGGCTAATTCCACAGGCCACCTTGCCCAGAAGCGCCAAAGGATGCACCACTCACGTGAGCACATCCCTCCTAGCTCAACGCCCTGAGATGACGGAGAAGGCAGGCACAGGTAGGGGTTACGGTGGCCCTGGAGTCCCAGGAGGAAAGGAGGGAAGAGTGCTCCAGAGTTCTCAGCTGCCCTTGTACGCTCGCACTCTGTGGGCAGGCTTGAGCAAATGCCAACGCGGGGGTCCCACACCACCCTCCAGAGATTCTAATTTAACACAGCAGGCGGGAAATCAGTATTTTTTCCAAAACTTCCCAGGTGATTCTAGTGTGCCGCCCAGGCTGGCAGCTAGGTGCTGACCAAAATGAATAAACCTCCACGAGACACGGGGAGCAAACATTTAGCAATTAGTGAAAATGAAATCAGGGCATGGAGCCACGACCATTTTCTCAAGAAGCCCTCAATCTTTGGGTCTCCCAGTTGAACCAGAAAAATAAAATGCAGACTGACATAGAGTAGCAAATAGAGCAGCACAGAGCGTGAGCCTGTGTATCTGAAATGGAAATACCGCAGGATCTAAACCCGGGCATAAGGAGCAAATGAGTGCACTAACAGCGCCGTAAACACAACCGAACCAAACCTACCTTGAGCAGCAGTCTTGATCTTCATGTTAACCATTAAACATTTTACGTCCTCTCTTTCAAATGCCATTTTACCATAACATTATTTCTCACAGACTGTGATGAGCACACGCACGTGTGCATGTTGTCAACCCGCTTGTGTGTTTCTCAAATACTTTGAAGAGAACAGTCACATTTGGGGCATATAAACTCCCAAACCTTAAAAGAATCACACACTCACTCCACACAGCTGGGATCCATTTTTCATTTCTAGTCATTTCTCAATTTTCAAATTCACCGATTTATCTGAATCTGATACAATACCACCCCCTGGTGGAAACCTATGGGGAAGAAGCACACTTGATGGAGGATTTTTTACTGAAAGGAAAGATGAAGATCATCTAGTACGCTGGTTTTCTCTCCGTCTCTCTCATTCCCCTCTCTCTTTCTCTCCCTCTCTCCTTCCTCTAGCAGAATGTTCTCTTTAAGAAAAATCATATGTAAAATTCAGTGAACAGCAAAATGGAGCTATACTGGGGGCTTCCTCTTTCCCACCTTCTCATTGCCAACTTCACATCTCCCCTCCTCCCAACCCTGGGATGTCTGAAATAGAACTTATTATCACTAAACACAAGCCATCTCCTGCCAAAATTAAAATTAAAATTTACATATATTTCTCCAAAGCTTCCTTATCTTAGTGAGCAGCCCCTCCTTTACCATTCACTAAAGCCAAAACCCTCCTGAGCGTTCACAATATACACGAACAGATTAACTCTGAGCAGACCTGCGTTGAGAAACCAGGTTAGATTTATTTATTTCAGCAATTGCCAGACTCATTTTATCATGACACATTTCCCCCTCTTCCCAGTCCCCCCCCCCAACAACTTGCAGAAAACCCTTTGGATAGATTTCATTCGGAATGGTTGTTCCATCTTAATCAGCAAATTAGCTCTTTGGCTGCACCTGGTACTTAATCTTTAAAAATGCTTAGGCAAAGTCAACCACACAACACAATCATTTGTGGTAATGGACAGTAGCACCCTTAGGAGCCTGACCCCAGGCAGCTATTGAGTTGATGCCATGTCCATAGGTGACTTCATCCCCGTCCTCTAACCAGCTGAGGGGAGGGAGAGGTTGCCACTAGTACTAGCAGCAACCATGCTTTGTCTTGTCTTAAATGTGATAATCTCTTAAATTTGTTGCATGATCACCGTGTGATCATTTTATTCAGGGGGCTTATAATGCCCCCTTGAGCACAACCCACAGGCATCATGGGCAGCTCTGCAGCTGGCAGTGACTCAAGCGTTTTCCATACCTTAGCTCTTCCCGTGGATTTATGAGCCCCAAGATGTCAACACCCCCACAGCCTCCAGCCCCCGTGTAACCAGACCTAAATCTTATTCTGTAACATTTATATATATATATATATATATATATATATATATATATATATATATATATATATATATATAATTCACATTTACTTATTTTATTTTAAGATTTTATTTGTTTATTCATGAGAGACACACACAGAGAGAGGCAGAGACACAGGCAGAGGGAGAAGCAGGCTCCCTGCAGGGAGCCCGACGTGGGACTCTAACCTGGGTCTCCAGGATCACGCTCTGGGCTGAAGGCGGCGCTAACCTGCTGAGCCCACCCCCACCCCCAGTCGGGCGGCCCTGGAACAAGTATTCTTTTTTTTTTTTAAGATTTATTTATTTATTTATTTATTTGTGATAGACATAGAGAGGCAGAGACACAGGCAGAGGGAGAAGCAGGCTCCATGCACCGGGAGCCCGACGTGGGATTCGATCCCAGGTCTCCAGGATCGCGCCCTGGGCCAAAGGCAGGCGCCAAACCGCTGCGCCACCCAGGGACCCCCGGAACAAGTATTCTTAACAAAAGTGGAGTCATGCCCCGCTGGGTGGTTAGGCCTCTGCTTGAGCCCAGCTGTGCGTGGCTCGTGGGTTGGACTCCTAGTCCTGATTCGTACGGAGCATTTGCGATGTTGAGACCAAGAGAGCAGCTAAGGAAGCCTGCGTGCGTGCGACGGGAAAGTTGGGGGGATCCGCCTGCGGGCGCTCAGCGGGGCGGGGTGGGGTGGGGGTGGCTACAACCTGGGCGCGGGGGCCGCGGGGGCCGCGGGGGCCGCGGGGGGCGCGGGGGGCGCGGGGGCCGCGGGGGCGCAGCTGCGGGCCAGCCGCGCGGCCTCCAGGGCGGCGCCCCAGTGCACCGCGACGCCGCCGCCGCGGTGGCCGTAGTGGTGGACCACCCGCAGCGTCCCCGCCGCGCCGCGCACCCGCTCCGCCTGCAGCCGCACCCCGCGCCCGCCCGGCCGCAGGCCCACCTGCTCCCGCAGCCCGGCCGCTCCGCGCAGCGACGGCTCCAGGGCGCAGCAACGGGAAAAGATGTCCCTGCTGGTCTCGGCATCGGGGGACAGGTTCCAGTCCCCCTCCTGCCTCGTTCCGCCCAGCACCACGTCGGAGGCGCCCGGGTAGACGTAGGTGAGCCCGGCCCCCTCCCGGACGAAATGCTTCAGCCACGGGGCGCGCACGCGCAGCACCTGGCCGCGCACCGGGAGGACCTCGGCGTCGCCCGCAAGCCGCCGGCTGCCCAGGCCCGAGCAGTTGACCACGACGTCGAAGGCGGGGTGCAGCTCCCACAGGTCTCCCAGGCGCCGGCTGACGATCGGGACCCCGCTTGCTCTTAACCTGGGAGGAAGGAGAGGGACCATCAGGTGCGCCCCCGCAGCCCCCCCCCCCCCAGGGCCCGGCCAGCGACTGCCTCCGAAACTGCAGGCGAAATGAAGCCCTGTTCCAAAAGTCCAAAACGGGGGACCCCTGGGGGGCTCAGCGGTGGAGCCTCTGCCTTCGGCCCGGGGCGTGACCCCGGGGTCCCCCCTCTCAACCTGGGCCCACCAGTTTCCAGTTCCTGGGGTGCCCTTGCAGAGACGGTCTGTGCACTTACAAGCAAATATGATGTGTATGGATTTACCCAAATGGTAACCTCTTTAAAAAAAAATTATTTTAGGGATGCCTGGGGGACTCGGTGGTTGAGCATCTGCCTTTGGCTCAGGGCGTGATCCCAAGGTCCTGGGATTGAGTCCCACCTCCGCTTCCTGCAAGGAGCCTGCTTGTCCCTCTGCCGGTGTCTCTGCCTCTCTCTGTGTGTGTGTCTCTCATGAATAAATAAATTAAAAATCTTTTTGAAAATGTCAGAACGAAAGAAATGTGCTGTCCTTTTTTACGTTTTGTAAGTTCCTAGATCATACTAGATGCTCAATCAACACTAAATTAATCCGTGTTTTAAATCCCAGAGCATTTTTTTATGCCGTTCATTTGGCGCCTCAATTTGTAGCCATAGACATTTTGTCTCCTATTGTTAACTCTTGCATGTTCCCTTGCATTATTCCAGCCTCCCCAACTAGATGTTTGGAACAGGGGTCCCATTCCCCACTTTATGTCTATCGCAGGAATGTTAGCGTGAGAGGAATGCAAAGTATTTGCAACAGATGCAGTAATAGTTGTGGTTGATAATGATATTTTGGACCAAGTATATCGATATCAAAAAGAAATGGCTTGGGGGATCCCTGGGTGGCTCAGCAGTTTAGTGGTGGCCTTTGGCCCGGGGTGCGATCCTGGAGCCCTGGGATCAAGTCCCATGTCAGGCTCCCGGCATGGAGCCTGCTTCTCTCTCTGCCTCTCTCTCCCTCTGTGTCTATCATGAATAAATTGATAAATCTGAAGAAAGAAGAAGGAGAAGGAGAAGAAGAAATAGAAATGGCTTGGAGCATCCAGGTGGCTCAGTAGGTTGGGCGTGGGACTCCTGGTTTCCACTGGGGTTGTGATCTCGGGGTCATTGGATGGAGCCCCACAGGAGGAAGAAGAAGGAGAAGGAGAAGAAGGAGAAGCAGAAGGAGAAGGAAAAGAAGAAAGAAAGAAGAAGAAATGGCTTGGAGCATCCAGGTGGCTCAGTAGGTTGGGCGTGGGACTCCTGGTTTCCACTGGGGTTGTGATCTCGGGGTCATTGGATGGAGCCCCACAGGATTGGGCTCCCACAGGATTGGGCTCCCAGCTCAGCAGAGGGTCTGCTTCTCTCCCTCCCCATCTGCCCCCCTCTCTTTCTCACATGTGTGGGCTCTCTTTCTCTCTCTCTAAAATGAATAAATCAATTTTTTAAGGGAAATGGCTTATCTAGGTCCTGTAAATCTTTTTTTTTAATGGTGGTAAAATACACGTAACATAAAATTCACTCTATTGAATTTTTAGGTGTACTCACTCATTTTTAGGTGTACAGTTCACTAGCATTAGTTTTAATATATTCATCTATGAATTTCGTGGTAATACTGGCCAACATATTGCGACATGTTAGTATTCTTTAAAACAATGACTGTAAAGAAAAAACTTTTACAAAGAGTTGAGGCGCACTCTCCCCTTTACCAATCATAAAACCTTGGTCAGGTTATTTAATTTCTGTGACCTTTCATTCTCCATCCGTAATTTGGAGATACCAGCACTGACTTCATAGACTCCTTGTGAAAATGAAGTGAGACAGCATCTGGGAAAAGTCTGATAGATCCCCTAACACACTGTAGTTCCTCGGTAATTTTTTTTAGTGGGGGGGCTGCAGGAAAGGGTGCCGTTGCTATGCTACCACAAAATACAAGACCCGATATCTTGTCCAGGGGTTTCCCTGCTTTGCACACCCATCTATCACTTACATTCAATGGTTTAGTAGCCTGTAAGAATGACATCTGGGCTTCAAAAAATGTTTTACACTGATTATTATTTGAACATTATCTTGATTTTGCTAGTAATAGATTGCAGATTCCACGTGTTGATAATCAAACATTGTGCCCTGCTTTCCAACTATTCTAATTAAAACTCAATTCTTTTCCTAATTCAGACAAATACAGGAATTTTACCAGCCTGGTGACTGGACTGAACTGAACTTGTTTCCTCAACTATTATCGTGGGGTAAGAATGCTGTGTCCACAGGGTTTTTAATAAAGATCATGTAAGAATTCAGCAAACGCAAATGCCCTTCTCTTCCATTTCACGCTCTCCTCCTGGTCGCTACTGATGGAAGTCCACTCTCTACCTGGAGACTTCTGAAATTATCCGCGGTTGGGCTGTTGGAAAGGCCTGGCAAGCCTGCTGTGCTGAGTACCTCGCAGGCCTCTACCCCAGGGCGGAACTTACTGAATGTGCCAGGGACCCGTCATCCTCGCACTGTTGCCATGCAACCCTGTGGTGATGCCCCATCTCTACTGTTATCCCACGGGTGATGCATCAGGCGGCACCAGGGTGTAGGAGGAAACCAGACCTGGAAGCTGTAGGTTGGGTGACCCAGCACTTTTACAACCACATGAGGTAGTTATTTTATCCTAGAGGTTTTGAATGACATGGTTGGGGGGTGGGTATAAGCAGGGTGACTTTCCCCGTAGGGCTTCCTGCAACTGAGCAAGACCTCATTCTAGATGGGAAGAATGCCTTGTCCCACCCTACCTTGAGGAAATTTGTGGTCACTAAACAGACCCTGACCAATGTCTTCTGGTCATCTCTCTAAAAGCCAAAAGTGCCCACCTTCACCAAGCCTAAAAGTCAGTCCTCTGCAGGACTGTGTCAGCCTGATGCATAGATATGGGGGGTGGTTGTCGTTAGAGCCCCTCCTTCAACTCACTGGGCATTTCAGCAAGAGGGAAATTGAGCAGATGTAGCCTTGAGAGGGATGGGGCTCCACTAAGTGCTTCTATACACACACACACACACACACACACACACACACACACACTACATTCCAGAAGCACAGGGGAGTCCCCTCATCCTCTCCCTTCTCATGGGACTGGAGGCATTTCTGCACCCCACCTCCCATCCCTGCCACAGCCTAAGCCAGGTAAGAGAGGAGTCCTCCCTCCTGATATAGGGAGGTGGGGGTTCAGCGGGGAGACTCACTGAGGGAAACGGGACACAGGAGAAAGACAGGGTCCTTGTGAGCTCTAATACGAGGGATGGGGCCGCTTTGACCACAGCACTGGGCATAGAGCTCAGGAGGGAACTGGGAGCGGGAGTTCAGGGCAGGATGTGGGGTGCAGCCCAGCAGGACAAAAACGGTGGGAGCAGCAGGGCCAAGATACTGCCCTGGAACCATGTGCTCCTGGAATTCACCTGCTGACACTTACACCCTAAATTGTTTGGGGAACCTAGTGAGTAGAAACTGGGGAGGAGGGGAACAGTGTTTTTCTTATTTAAATTTTTGAGCACTTTTCATCTTGCCAAAGGTAGACATTTTAACACTCCCTTTGCAAGCATCTTGATAGCTTGTACCTTTAATCTGGGAATATTATCCAAATAGGTCGTAGATTAGACGAATACAAAGTAAAAACTCTTAGGATGCCTGGGTGGCTCAGGGTTGAGCGCTGCCTTGGGCTCAGGGCGTGATCCCGGGGTCCTGGGGTCGAGTCCCACATGGGGCTCACCGGGGGGGAGCCTGCTTCTCCCTCTGTTTGTGTCTCTGCCTCTCTCTCTGTCTCTCATGGATACATAAATAAAATCTTTAAAAAAAGAAAGCAAAAGGTCTCTTCTAAGGATCCCAGATGACTATGGGGTAAGAGGGTACATGATTGTCTGCATGAAGGCCAGGATGCTTCTCTGCAAACCAGACTGCTTTTGGAAAATCGATCCCCACCAAGGAGGGTAGAGAGAAGAGGGGATGACATGGTGTCTACTCCCCAGCTGCTCCTCACACTGGCTGGAAAATTCTCATTAGAAGGCGAGGGCCATGGGACGCCTGGGTGGCTCAGTGGTTGAGCATCTGCCTTCAGCTCAGGGTGTGATCCCGGAATCCCAGGATTGAATCCCACGTCGGGCTCTCTGCATGGAGCCTGCTTCTCCCTCTGCCTGTGTCTCTGCCTCTCTCTCTGTCTCTCATGAATAAATAAATAAAATCTTAAAAAAAAAAAAAAAGAAGAAGAAGAAGGCGAGGGCCAGAGCCTGAGGGTATGGACTTGAAGAGAATTGGTGAGAGTCAGGCCTGAGCAGGGCTGCCATGCAGTGGAATCCCAGTCGTCAGAGCGAGAAAAAGGACAATTCTCCCCACTGCTGGTAGAAAGTTCGTTGGAATTAGGAAAACAGCATTGAGTTTTTGAGCCACTGATACATGAGGTTAGCTTCGAGTGGAGAGAAAGAGTGAAGAGCTAGGAAGCCATCACTAGAGATGCAGAGAGATGCAGGGAGGCTGGGAGAGGATGGTGGCCAAGAACCTGGGTCGGGGGAAGGGTTGGCTTTGCTAAGCATTGTGTTATGTATTTTTAAAAATTTTTTTTGTGTTATGTATTTTGTATGCAATATTAGACATGGTCAATTAAAAAAATTAATCCTTGCTTCAAGCCGAAAGCATGACACCTTAATAAAAGTGATCAGAAAATTAACTATGTCCAGTATATTTCAAAATGAGGTAAAAAGGAAACCTTATTTAAAATCTCACTTGGCAAATGCTATGCACACGGATTCACAGAAAAATTCCACTGTTCCCTCCAGAAGTTAAAAATAAAGCTCCCCTACAACCCACCAATTGCATTAATAGGTATTTACCCAAAAGGATATGGAAATACTCATTCAAGGAGGTACATGCACCCCACCCCGATGTTCACAGCAGCATTATCAACAATCACCAGACTATGGAGAGAACCCAGCTGTCCACCAACTGATGA